ACTGTACGAAACTGAAACGTGGAAAACTACTACAACTATCATCAAAAAAGTAGAAGTATTTATAAATAGTTGTCTACACAAAATATTCAATGTCTGTTGATCGCACACCATCAGCAACAGCCTTCTGAAGGAGAGGATAAACCAGCTTCCGGCTGAGGAGAAAATTAGGAAAAGACGTTGGAAGCGGGTCGGCCATATATTGAGGAAATCACCAATGTGCATTACAAGGCAATCCCTAACGTGGAATCCGGAGGGGAGGCGGAAAAGTGGAAGACCAAAGAACACATTAAGCCGGGTAATAGAAGCATATATGAAAAGGATGAATAACAACTGGAAAGGATTGCCCAGAACAGGGTTGGATGGAGAAGACTGGTGTGCGGCCTATACTCCTCAACGAGGGGTAACAGGTGCAAATAATCTTCTGAATTCTTCATGTCCCTTTCTTGTTTCACTTTCCAAATTTATTTCACTGGATTATACTCCTTTTTTTATACTGAAAATGATGTCCGGAAATGTCTCCAGTCTCTGAATTCATCTCAATGTTTAGGACCTGATGGTATCCCAAACCTCCTTTTTAAAAAATGTGCTGATGTTTTATGTTATCCATTAACAAATTTCTTTAACAGATCCTTCTCAACTAATGTCTTACCGAAAATGTGGAGAAAGATAAAGATAATCCCTATACCTAAGAAAGCTTCTGGTGATAAAAATGCGAAACTTAGACCCATTGCAATAACCTCACCTTTCCTCAAAATAATGGAAAAATTACTGATACAACCACTTCAACCTTCAATAAAAGAGTACTGTGATCCATTTCAGTTTGCTTACAAATGCAAAAGAAGCACATTAGATGCCGTTGCTGTTCTGCATCACAATATAGTGTTCGGGTTGGAAAAGGGTAAGAAGTATGTTAGATGCGCTTTTCTGGACTTTACTTCTGCTTTTGATTCTATTCCAAGACATCTCTTACTTAACAAGCTGATTCGCATCGACACTGACAGCTGGATAACCAATTGGCTACGCTCCTACCTTTCTGGAAGAGAACAGTACACTGTATTTGAAAGAAAGTGTTCAACATCTCTACTGTCTACTGTAGGTGTGCCACAAGGAGCTGTTCTTTCACCTCTGCTCTTCTCTTTCTTTTTGCATGATCTGCCATCTTCCACAGAAAACACTTTTGTAAAATATGCGGACGACCTCACTGTATGTATGCCAATTTCTACCTCCTTACATCCTATAGAAATGAATGAGTTTTTATCTCGTATTGAAAGGTGGTCTGTTGGTAATGGTCTCTTACTCAATCCATCTAAATGTCAAGCTGTTAATTTTAGCTTGAGACATGGACAGAACCTATACTCTATGTTGGGATCCCATAATGCTTGTGCCATTGGAGACTCCTTAATAAACACAGTGTCGAGGGTCAAATATCTTGGTGTTACTTTTTCCTCTGATCTTTCTTGGTCTTCTCATGTTTTACTATTATCGAAAAAAGTTTACCGCTTGACATACTACATAAAGAGGCTGCATGCTTTTGGGATTACTCGCCATTTACTCTTACAATTTGTAAATTCCTGCATATTACCTATTATTTTATATTGTTCTCCATTATTCTTTCCTGGGCTTTTGAGAAAAGACTTTGCTATTTTGCGTAGAATGCTGAAGGCGGTTTGCAAGGTATGTGGTGAATCTTTTGAAGTCATTGTTAATATGCTTGTGGATAGACATCTTAAGTGTTGCAAACTCTTGGCAGGTGTTATCTTATCAGATACTAACCATCCGCTTCATTCATATCTTTCTCCTTGTATATCTTCTGGTAGAACGAGACGTAAATACATTAAAATCCATGCACGCAAGCAAATCTATAAAAGTTCTGTAATACCTTACTTAGCAAATTTACTTTGTGACGAACAGGCTGTTAGAGTTGACCTAGTAAATAACCTGTCTTCTTAAGCATGTCTCAAATTCGATAATTTGTATAAAGTCAGTTTTTCCTAGACCTTTTTTTTTTAAAATTTTATTTCTGTTTTTTTTGTTTGTTTGTTTTTTCGGGTTTCCTTTTTTGGTAAAAAACTTGTTGAAATAACTCGTGCTGAGAATTCTATATTGTACCAGATTATAATATTGAATAAAGCCATTAATAATAATAATAATAATAATAATGAATAACATTTTCAGACCCTAATCCTTCCGATTACTGCTTATACTCTTACTACCTATACCACTATGGGATTTGAATCGACAACTGCATCCCTGTGCTAATGTGGTATGGCAACTTGAACTGATGTGCGTACGTACATACGAAGTCCTACGTTGTAACTAAGTGACCTTACAGATCGACATCAGAGAATCAAAATTTTAATATTATTCCAATAAACTACGTAGATTTGGCAAATTTTCATATTACTCTTCTGCAATATGTTCTTCAACCACTAAGTAGAAACTTAAAAATCTGTTTAGCTTTCTTTTTAGGAAATTTGATTTAATTGACTTAAACACCAGGTACTTAGATATGTGGTGATTTACTTAGTTTGAAAATGATTTTATTAATAATCCTAAGCTTATTATTGACCCACCTCAAAATTGGCTTTCAGGCTGTTAGACAGAAGGTTTGACCTAGAGAGCTGGGAGTAAGGCAGATACACACCGATCATATTAGTTGGTAGCCACTATATCTTGCGAATTTACTGGTGTTGACACATGTAACTTTTATTTCTATCAAATATATGAATGATATAATGGTTTTTGCGAAACCTGAATACTTTGGCTTTTATTTTGTTTAGCGTCTTAGGTGTCTACTCCTGAGCGTTACCAAGAACCTCTAAACAGCCTATGGTGAAGATTTTTCACTTCGCCTCTTGGATGTTTTCATTCGGCAGTACATCTGTAGCCTCTTTTAGCGGATTTGCACTCAGTGACTTTATTCGGTGTCTCTCCATATAGACAGCGACAAAACAAGGGTATACATTTATTTCTCCCTCTCGTTCTTGTCCAACAAGGGTAAAACAGAGTCGCTCAACAGCATGTTCCTCTTCATTTATCCCATCGTCAACATTCTGAAAATAGGGCTAAAGGAATTATATAATGGTGGAGTGGATCTCTTACTTGGTGAGACCTTTCCACCTGTGGAACAAATAACAGTCTTACTGTGAGATGAAAGCTCAGTCGTCCTTTGCCAACTTACATCCCTCGTGGTGTAGGCGATATTTCTTTCTTCCGAACAAGAGGCAAAAATGCCTCTCAGTAGTCCGTTTTGTATTTGTCCATAGATGTGAAACTTGGTCTGGCTAACTCGTTGAGTGTTTGAAATGAAAGATACCGGATTTGAATACCAGAAAGAATATCAAATTTAGGATGCAGGCATATTCAGCTGACGACTTCACTGCTAGCCACATCTCATATGTTCTATAGAAACGTTTGACAATGACTATGTAAAGGTAGTTTGCACAGGATGCACATACACCAGCTGAGACTGACCAAAGTTCGGTCAGAATATCAACAGCAAGATAATTTTTACCGCTACAACTCCAATATTATATTTTCAGTGTTTGCTCTTTTTCACTATCATCACTACTTTTATTTATCTAAACACAAACATTAGTACAAAGTGACACTAAAATGTATATAACCCAAATCATGAAAATGAGATTGTAAATAGATGGGGAAAGGAATGTGGGTGTAACAAAAATAAAAGAGCAAAGATGAATTAGCATATGAGAATGAAAAAATAATAATGGGAGAATTAGTTTAGTCGGAAAAAAAACAACCAGAATAGGATCTTTCAGTTATAAGGGGGAAAGTTTGGTAAAGTTACAGCAGAACCTCCACTGACCTCTAATCTGAGCTGTGTCTATCTCTAGGACCTGAACCAGGGGGTTGTAAAGGACCGACAGTCCCAATTCCTACACAGATCTATTTCGTATTGCAACACCATGTCATAAACTGACCACCTCTCCGCCTTTTCCAACCAGTCCTAGCGCTGCCAAATGATGCAAGACGTGGAATTCTCTGGGACAACATTCGTATAATATTTCCAAGCCATCAAAGTCGGGATTCTAAGATGGTAGCACCAATTGAATTATCGTCACTGTGTTCGAACACACGATACCGAACCTACGCACTAATAACACGGTTTCACTACTGAATATCAGCAGTCCTATGGGGACAACCTGCACAGTAAGACAATGTCATCTTTATACTCAAAGTTCACACCACTACTACGTACATTCATCAGAGCTGTTTCCAGGACGTCATCGATCGCAAAGTTGAAGAGAAATTGTTAGATTAAGCAACTCTACCTGACCCCCATTGCTGGAATAGGACAATAAAAGGAGGTGGTTGTATGCCCTAGCTCTGCCTGAGATTGTATCTGGGGCTTTGAAGATGTTAATAAACACACCCTTCTTCAATAGACAATCCCAGAGAACGTCCCTGTCGAACAAGTCGAAGGTGGTCCGGATATCAAGAAACACAGCAGTTGTTGACCTGCAATAAGTATGACAGTGTTCTAACATCTGACCGAGGTTGATGATATTATTAATACATACTCAACCTAAATGAAAACCGGCCTGCTTCACGCGAGTTAATCTTCCTCGGATTTTTAGCAATCTACGAAGTATGACGGAAGCCAATAAATCGGACGCAATCAGAATGAGACTTAATCTCCCATAGTTGTTGCTTAGGTGTCGTAAAACCTTTTCAAAGATAAGGACAACTATCGACTGTCCTCAAGATGTTCAAACTGTTATATCGTATGGACTCGTAATATATATGGACGTGCAATTGGAGATGTAGTGGATTTTACTGATCGGATGCAAATGATACTTGAAATACGTACGAGCAGTCTTGGGTGCTATTCGGTCCTTCCTATCTGCCTAGCCCAGCCAGTTGAGTGCAGAACACGAATAACAGCCTCGACAATATGAATCATTATTTACAAGCATACTGGGTTTTTATACAAACCAAAGTAATCAATAAAATGATTATAACTCAAGAATCGTATGATCATAAATCAAAGATCAAAATAATAGAAAACACGAATATGAATAATTTAGTTACGTAACAACTGTACAATAAGAAATAGTCATAATACATTGGTCGATAAATAGTCCTTAGAGTTATCATTCATAATTCACCAGGGGATATAACACCTCCCCTTTTTGAGAAATCCGGAGTTGACATCCGGATTTTTAATTTCTCGAATTCATCCTCCCCCACGAAAGACTGTTGGATCCTCATGTACCCAAGTTACCATTATTGTGACATTATTTAAAACATATTCGTCGTATTTAACAGAGAATCCGCCAGAACTGATTAGATCGTGAGGATCGACGACATTCGATTTGAGGTCACCAGCGTCTGATTCTTCTGAAACAGTTTCCTTGAATTTACTCGGAACCTCATTAGTAGATAATGAATCATTAGGATAATCAGCATCTACGAAAGTTGTATTGGATTCTTGATTATCATATAATGCATCCGATATTTTTCCCCCATTTTTATAAGAGATTTGAACAGGAACATATGAATTAGCAAAATAATCGGGATCTGGCAGAACAATTACAGAATTTTGATCATTAGATTCATTAGAAACATTTTTCGTATCATGATTAGTTTCATTTGGCGCCACTGTATTCAATATACTGCTCGATTTGTCTCCCGTTTCTTCATGGGCGGGTACTACAGTAATTTCATGAGCATTTAGCAAAACATTGTCTGTCTGTAAACAGGTTGATCCACTGTTTGCACGTCCGTTTTCGGGGTTAATAGGACTTGGACCGTGTATAGGGCATGTCTCTGAAACAGGCAGCACCGGACTACTGGGCTGATCATGTAGGACTGTTACTGCTGCATCTAAATTACTGTTTTTCGCGGATTCATAGAGGCTTTCCTCTGCATATTCATTTGTTCTGTAATCGACTTCCAGTTCTGTACGCAATTTAGAAATCAATGCGTCAACTTCCGTTGCACCCCCAAAGCATGGGTGATTCAGCAGCGTCGCGTGTAACTTGTCAATGAAATCCAACTGACTCTTTTTAAAACGCTGCTCTTGTCTTTGAATTAGCAACTGAAATTGATCGGAAGTTAAAGCCATTTTTTTACCCTGTCGTCAGTTGTTATATCGTATGGGCCCGTAATTTATATGAACGCCAATTTAGAGAGGAGTGAATTTATTGATCGGACGCAAATGATGATTGAAATTGTACGAGCAGTCTTGATTGCGTATCGGCCCTGCTATCTGCCTCGGAAATATGAATCATTATTTACAAGCATACTGGGTTTTTATACAAACCAAAGTAATCAATAAACTGATTATAACTCAAGAATCGTATGATCATAAATCAAAGATCAAAATAATAGAAAACACGAATATGAATAATTTAGTTACGTAACAACTGTACAATAAGAAATAGTCATAATACATTGGTCGATAAATAGTCCTTAGAGTTATCATTCATAATTCACCAGGGGATATAACACAAACACTGTGATTACCAGACATTTGCAGAAAACTCAGATCAATAACCGAGGGTCTCCATCATCCTTAAAAAGGACCGAAGATAAGTCATCTGGGCTGGGTGATGTGTGATTCATCAGGAGTTGAAGTTCCTTGCATAATCCTGCTTCGTTAGGTGCATCAGTCGTCACAGGCCATGGGGGGTGACAGTTTGGTCGATGTCAGCGAGACAAGAGATCAGTTGATTTGTTCTCCCAAGATCTTTGTCTATCGTCCAAAACATTGATAGATGTTATTGATCAGCGTCCCATAAACTTCATAAATTGTTTCACTCACATCAGAGTTCTTGCCTGGAGTGCTTCTGACAGTTATAAGATGCTGCTACTTCCAACTCATTATCACTTTCCGACAACCAGGCTTCTCGGTTCTTACTCAGAATTTGCACACTTTGCTTACGTAGAAATCTACGCTTATTGTCAGAACTACGGTTAACCGGAGTAAACCAACGTACTCCAACGAGTTGTAAGGAGACTGTAGAAACCCAATTCCTATAAGCAGGACGTTTCGCAAAGCTGCAAGCGTCTCTATGTGCCTTTTTCATGGCGTCATCCAAGTGCAGCCATTGCTCATCTATACTTTTCATTGGGTTGATAGCTAACCATAAACCTAGCTCACTCTGATATTTAGTTGGGATAGAGGCTGCAGTCAATTCGACTCATTTAGGACGGTAAATTTGTTGACCACTGAAACGTATAATAAGATTATCGCGAATGAGAGCACAATCAGAGTCCAAATAAGTACTTCAAAAAGAGCGACAGTCTTGTATACAACCACCCCAGTGATAGCTGACCACTATGTGATCAATCTGAGTCCAGGCTTGAAATGCAGCGAGAGGACGCCAGGTGGCACATTGGCGATGACTGTATCGATAGTTAGTGCTAGCCAGAAATGAGTCGTAGTCTATGCAAATTTGTAGTAGACGGTCGCTGTTATTTGACCTGACACCAACAGGTCCTTATTGGCCAACCAAACGGCTTTGCCCTGCGCCTAGACACCCGACTTAAGAATTGAAGTCTCCGGCTAGCATTACAATAACTTTCATTTCTACTAGATTATTTCGATGGTGATTCACCTTGTCGTTCTGCTGTGGTATAGCAACTTAAGTCACTTGGCATCTATGCCAGGCTCACGTTGGTGATGACTGACTTACTGTGCGACAATACCCGGACTAGAGAAATTGCATACTACAAACTAGTAGTTGGTGTCTGTAGGTACAACATGCACTTCACATTTTCAAAATGCTAGATCATTTTTCAAGATTAACACAAACCTATTCCTGCAATCATCCTCTTCAGTAAGCCATTGAAAACAATTGGAGATTTAGTGTAACTGAGTAATAGTGTTAGTCCTCGTATTGGAATGGCAAATGAGATCATTCTGGACATCAGTCATTCATGTATGGTTATCTCATTATGGTGTGACTACCGTAACTCCGTGTACTGAAAATTCTATATTGTGCTAAAAATATGGTAATAAATAGAAAGATTATCATTTATGCAGGCCACTTGATAGTATCGTTTTAAGCGAACATTTAGCCAAAACATGACCTGACTGCTGGTCGATAAACAAATAATAGACTTATATCATGGTAGATTCCAGGAGTAATTAAAGACATTTGAAAATGCTTTTTTTATGACACGAATTCTAAGTTATAAATCAAAACGCAAAATCGAACCACGTAAGACACTTGTAACAACTTGCAACGATGGTAAACGCTGGGAGTTGTGTCGAGTTCCAGCAACGAATATTTGGTCAGTCACATGCAATGTAGAATCTAACCTAGCAAATGTGTACATCTTTTCGAGCTTCCATATTTCATTAGCACAGCGAAATGAAATTTTAGAAACAAATCACAGAGCAGTGCACGTTGTAACAGGTTTAGTGGTGGTAGGAAATATTAGGCACGTAAGATATAATTCTAGAAGAATGGATTAGTGGAATATCAATAATAAAATGTGTAAGGTAATTCAGAAACTTTGGATCTTAGGGAAGACAGAAAGTTAATGTATCTGCAAAGTATTCTGAGTTATGTCGTCTAAAATCTTTAACCATTAGTTATGACAATCATGTAGACTCCAATCAAGTAGTCTGTGTTTACCTACATGACTCAGTCAAATGGTCAGCTTTTTCCTAGACTGTAATCATGTCTTGGTTTCTCCCCTCCTAACTCTTTTCCAAACTATTCATACACCGGTCATCATCGAGGTATGTAGTGAATGTGCATACGTAAAATATTCCCTAACCACCTCAGTTAATAAAGATTCACTACCTCGTCAATAGATTTCTCATCCTTACTAGTGTTCTGCGTCTAACTTCAGAATTGCTAGCTCGATTATTCTAACGTATAGGAGGAATGTTTCGAAGGCATTTATGATCAAATACTAACGGCCTGCAAATGACCTCTATTTTTAAAGACCAAGTTTCATGCCCATAAACTAGGACGGAACAAACTGCTCACATTAGCTTCATCCTTTATTTGACAGATGGGTATCTCACTCACGCCACAAGCGACACAAGTTAGCAAACAACAACCGAGCTTTCGAATTTGTCCAAAGATTTCGTCAGGAATGGCGAGACTCCCAAGATAAGCGAAGCTATGGATGCACTCAACTTCACTCCTTAACATTAATTAAGACATTGACGCAAACCAGTGTATAAGCAATATTTTGCACTTGAAAGAGGAGCATCACATGTCAAATATACTTTGATTGTTGCTTAAGGCAGTCAAAAGACTGGATTTTTTCACCGTCTTCACTAAACAGGATTATATCATCTGAGGGTTCTAGGCCAACAACTGAGTTCCCAGGTAGAATATCAGTTCTCAAAGAGCAAAACGGCGACAGCATTATCTCTAGAAGAATGTCTATGACAAGTTTTAATAAAAAGAATGGAAGTGGGATATCCTAACAAAAACTACTTGAAGTTATCGATTCTTCGTGAGCCTTAACTCGACCAGTAGTATTTGAGTAGAGAGCCTGTACAAGGTTGATATACTTCGTTGGTACGTTTCTCAACGACAGGCACTACCATAAAGCATGCCTATCTATCGAGTTGAATTCTGCCTTAAGGTCAAGAGATACAACTGTAGCTGAGAGTCCAGAACATACCTAAGTTGGGATTACTTGGTCTACATATCTAAACTCAGGTATGAAACCAACTTATTCTTCCCGAGTTTGCTCTCCACGAGCTCTAGTTAAGCGTTGAATAATTATTGATGCTAATATTTTAAATATGTAAGCCGAACTGATTCCTTTGGTTATCACAAGAGGATTTTTGTTCTGGAGCGATTGACAAGCTAGACTAGTGAGATGAGCGTATTTTCAGTATCAATCTTCACTGTTCCTTCTGTAAATATCAGTTCATTTTCTCTAATTCCATTCTTCATGCATTTTCCCACCAATTGCGCTTCATTTCAGTTCTTTCCTTATCGGTCTTCTGTCAAAATACATTCTATGTTTGACCATCGTCATATACTACTGATGTCTATATAAGTAGACCACACCACATTACTACTGTTTTCACAGCCATCTAATATGTTCAGTGAATCATTCAGTTGAATTGCATTAAGGTTTGTACCACTTACCTCCCAGTTACTTTTGTACACCTCAGACATGCAACTCTCAACTACTAAATTTTATCTTTCAAACAATCACACCTACTACAGTGTCACTAATATTCATGTCATATTTTACAATCGTGTATATGGAATTAAATGTGAGAGCATTTCGAGAGGGAGAGCGGACTCACCCCACTCTCGGTCGTACCAGGGCATTTGGGGACGAGCAAAATCGTAAGAAAATGTTATTCTGCTACGATTTTGCTCTTTATTCAGATTAATAATAGGCTGTTTATCTCGAGTGATAGACACTGATGGATATTTTACAATTGATCATGTAATTAGTTTTCATACATAGATCCATTTGTCTACTTCATGCGGCTTTTAAAAATATTATTCACTTTCTGTCTACATCTATTGCGTTCTTTTATTTATTTATCTACCCACTACTTCTAAATTTGTTGATAATATTCGTAAACGTTTACTAATCGTTCACATACACTCGATAATAGTTACCTGACCGTTTTATGCGACTCGGCATTTTGCTATCAGTAATTACTAGTCAGTAATTCATACGTACTTCTCTGACAAGCATTTGCTCTATTGTGTATGAATTTTAACCAGTTAACTGAATTCGGTCAAATACCAAGTTTTATTTTGAAGCACGAAATAAGTATTTCAAGTAGTGATTATCCAAAGTAAATATTCTATCAATAATTTAGGAGTATTTCTGTTTATTATTAGAATTTTTCTTTCCCTTTTTTTCAGGGATGATTTTTTCGTATCGATTTTTGATTAATGTCTTTATGCTTATATTGTCTTAAATGTGTCATTTAGGATGAAAAGATGGATAGTATTTCCTACTGTACCTTTATTTAAAATATATGCAATCTGTCAGTCAGAATGCCACTTATTTTCTCGTTCATCCATCCATCCCTTTTTTCTATTTTGTGTCTATTTGTAATCTTTCTGTTTTAATTTTCTCTTGCCAAAACATAAATAAATATTGGAGGAAAATTTTTACGTGACGACTTCGTTTGCAAACGAGCGATTTTTCAATTCAAATTTCTCATTGATCTAGGAGGAAATTTCTCGAACTTATGTGATTGGCTCGTTTTTTTCTCTCGTTATGCTAGGTCATTTTGTGATTTGCCAAGATAAATATAATTTAGAGCAGTTTCTATTTGCCTACTTTCAATAATGATTTATTTTCTGTAATGTGATAATATTATATTTCAAAATGTATTCCAATCTTGCTCAAGTTTATGGCATGCAATTTGGTGTTATCCCTTATGTATTTATATTGTAAGAAAATCAAAAAACGTGTGCAGCACCAATTTTTTTATAGACTCAGGCTTATGGTGGAATTAGAATATATTTTAAAAAAAAACAGGATCTCCGTAAATCTGTTAAAAATACCAGAAACAACTGGCCAGTTTTTAGATTTTCCTTATATTCGCTTGTCGATATACCCATTAAGTTTGATCTATATTTTCGTATGTATTGTTTTCCGTATCTTTTTTTACGTGAAAGTTTTTCTTCAGAAAAGTAAAAAAAATATTACTGACAGAAAAACCCAAAACGATGACGGTATAAGATGACTTTATCTCTGTTAAAGTATTTACTAGCAGAAACCAACATGAACTCTTAGATAGTTGTGTGGTGTGTGCTACTGATGTTGACAGATGTAAGTAGTATGTATCATCGATTGAAAGTGAAATGCATGGCGGCAGAAGGTTAAGAAGATCAAAGATAAGAGAATGATTGGTGTAGAAAAGAAGGAACAATCAAGTATGAGACAATTGATTGACATTTTGCAAATGAAGTATCTACTGTATGGTTCTCAGATTTTACTAAGTGATTCTGTAATTTTGTATTTATATATATTTGGTTATCCCCACTGGTGTTCTCGTTCACTACAGTTGTACTGGAAAAATGATTGATGTAGTCGTAAATTATCATTATTGTCTTTCACGTGCTTGATTGATGGTGACCAGTAGGTCTCAGCATCATTCATACAATGAGAAACTTACCGAGTGAATGTTGATCGAACAAATAAATAACTCGAGTGATAAGGTAAATAAATAATCAAAGAACTAAAAAAGTTGATTTATCCCACTTAAGAGGCACAAAATTGTAACTTCCAAGAAGTGGGTGATTGCCAACTTAAACGAAATGATAAGTGGACTGTTACTTTAAACTGAATTAAACTTATTACTGTACAATAGACGTTATGCGAAATAACATGACGTAATTACATACTGAGTAAAAAAAGTTATCAACAGCTAAAGTTAGTGTTACTCAGTAAGCATCCAGTCAGGTTTTTTTATCCAATTTTTCAATCACGCTATTTCGAAATTAAAAATTGAAGTTTGTATTGATCTGTAGAACATTCACAACGATTTGTTCCATCGTTTAGTTTATTGGTATAATAAATCTGATCGACAGGACAGAAAAATCTTGTTATCATGTCGTTAACAAAAGTAGATATATCATGAAATGCTTACTTTGAGATTAAATGTAATAAAATCTATACTGTACATGTCATTTAGTTTATATAAACAAAAAACTCGGCTAACATACTAGCTTTCATGGAAGAAATATTGAAAGGGATTCAAGTTCTTGCATATTTTTAATAACCAAAATCAGTTTTAAAGAAAACATCCATAAATCCCCCTCTTAGAAAAAAGTTTAGGAATACTTTCAGTGTCACGGTATAACACAAATATTCATTGTTTTAGGCCATAAATTACAGAGTTTGCTTCTTAACTACTACAGTGTTACGCTGGTACTAGATTTTATGATTGTCAAGTATCAGTTTCTATCACCAAAACGATAACCTTATTAAAATAAATCAATCATACACGTCAAAAGATTGCGTACTGCTTCTATATTGAGCAATTAAAAATTGTAAAATTGAATGTGCCGTTCACTCCAGATTGTTATTGGCGAACAAAGGGAATAATCGTTAATTGTTCTTGGACCTTTATTCTCATCTTTAATTAATCACATTCGTTAACTGACAAGTAAATGATTGCCACTTAGTTTTAGTCGAGTATATAGGTCAATCGGTTAGTGGTTCTGTCTTATTAAGTAGACAACATTTTAATGTGAAACATCTACATTCAGTGCCCACCTGTATGTTTGTAATTCAAACTGTACATTATTATGTAAGAAAGAAAGCTAAAATAATCATCATCTGTCACAATTGTTTCTGACAACCTTTTTTATTATCAGTACAAAGTAACTTGTTCAACATATTCACGCTAGTGAAATTGAATTTCCGTTACCAGGACAGTACGTATACGAGTTACAAGCAGGTATTAAATAAATATAAACAACAGTTTAAAAATCCCCATAGAATATTCAAAAATGAAGAATATTTGAGCGAACAATTGTTTTAAAAAACTTCATCATGAGGCTCTACAGTTATAAGTCCATAATTATGATATTTTACAAAGGCCAAAATGAGGTATGTATTAATTAATTTGACAATGTTATATGTTGAAGATAATGAACGTTTGTGTTATATCCCGAAGAGAATTATGAATGGTAAATTCTGAGAACTATTCATGGACCAATATGGTACATATATTTCCTATCGTATACTTGTTAAGTAAATTATTCATATTCATGGTCTTCTTATCATAAGCTTTATTTTGACCCAGAAACTATTATTCTACGATTTACCGTTCTTGAGTTATCCTCAGTCTATCAATTACTATCTCCCTTATTCACAGCCACATTATGATAAATCTTGTACAAATGTTGTTTTCTATTTTATGGTACAATATGGTCTGTCTGTTTGGTATATAAACCCAGTATGCTTGAAATAAATTATTCGTACCGCAGAGGCTGAGATTGGTGTTCTGAACTTATTTGGCTGGGGTAAGCAGAAAGCAGGACTGATAAGTACTCTAGACTGCTCGCATGGGTTTTTATACATCATTGGTTCGATCGATAAATCGCTGCTTTCTAATTGGCGGCTACAAGTTATAACATTACTATTATCATTATTATCTCAGTTGACAAGATGAAATTCTCATGTTATGCATTTTATTTACACGGTTTGTTTTGCATTTTCATTTTTGCTATGTTACTATTATATTGATTGTGACTGGACACTTTATTGCAAATCATCTTGACCTTTCTAATTTACGAATTATACAATTTTGAAGTATATATTTCGTAGCAGATGCAAACGTTCACCATTTTTAACATATAACATTGTCAAATTAATTAATACATACCTCATTTTGGCCTTTGTAAAATATCATAATTATGGACTTATAACTGTAGAGCCTCATGATGAAGTTTTTGAAAACAATTGTTTGCTCAAATATTCTTCATTTTTGAATATAAACAACTATGTAACTTCATGAAACAGGTGTGGTTCTGATACTTCTCTCTCTGAAAATTTGTTGATTGATGGCTAGTGCTTCCTAAATATCCTTTCATTCCAAGCCAGTACTAAAGTTTAACGGGAACAAACTTCTTATGCTTGAAGTGACACTAACTTTCCTATACAACCATAAAGGTTATGTTTATTGAAGTGCAGAAACTGAGTGTTTAAACTTTATGATCACCGTTCTCAGTGAATTTGTTTTGTTTTTTATGTATAAACGCAGCTATCATTGATAAACCGTAGTAGTTTTTGAACTCAACAGATATTTGGCGACTATATCGATAATATAGTAGCTTCCTAATGAAAGCATAAAGAAAGGGAAGTTAAAAGTAATCATCAGGTACTGAGTGTATTTTCTTAGAATTTATTTGTGATGCATATTACAAGTACACTTATACAAGCTTGTCTGTACCCAACATTTTATGTTGTGTAACTTTTTGACATGAAAATGAGTCACTGACACAGTTGATATTTAAAATCAGTAAATACCCTTTTGAGTAACCACAGGAAAACCATTATCTGCTGAATCACATTATTACATAAGATTTCTGATTCAGTAGCAATCGATAATTGCAAGTTATAATATTACAGTTGTACTTAAGCTCGCCTTGCGATCATTAGTTTATTAATTTTTAAAAAAAAGAATAAGACTACTTATTTGTAAAGGATTGTGCTAACTGATTTCTCAGTTTCCTTCTTAGGTCCTTAAAGATGCTGAAGTTATTTATCATTCGAATATTGGATCAGGTGTAAATAAATCCATTGCATCACAAGAACTTATTAGTTTTTGTAGCGTTAATATATCGTGTCCCAGACAGGTTCGTTACTATTAATTGACCTAGTGTATACAGCAGTTAGTCTAAATAATATATCTTAAGTAGTTTAGTTTGCGTTAGTATATTTACTGTACCAAATAAATAGTCTTGTGATAATCTTACGAAGATTTATCTAAAGAACGTTCACGGTATTTTCTAGTGGTTCCCTCTTCGAATATCACAGTTTGCATAAAATTATTCACTTAAACATTCTTGGTAGTATACATTTTATTATAATCTGTGGTAAATGGTGTTATGTACCAAGTACATAATAAAGAATATTTCCAAAATAAAATGTGTAGTAAGTAATTCCGTTCCAAACTTGTAACTCGTGCTTTGCTAGTACACCCCACCTATTTGCGAAATGGCAGTTGTGTAATTTAATAAATTAGTCAGATCACAATGACTTCTAGTTTTATTTTACTTTTTTATAATCACGTCGGTTTTAAGATCAGAATATTTACGTATGGAGTATAAAATTCGTCCGGTATGAATAACTAAATATTTCATTTTTAAGATCACAGTAATATTTTTGCTAATCTATGCAATAAACTATGTTAATTATTTCATCTTAGCATCTAATTAATATCTTCATATACTGCTATAGTTTCTTTTCTGATTGTTGTTTTCTTCCACGTACCTAATCATAAACATACTTTCTTCATTTTATAGGAAGCTTATAGAAGTTGGTTTTGTGCAACAGAATTCCCACTGTATTATCCACTTAATGACGCAGATTTAAGTATACCTTTACACTCGAAATCTCTGGGTTCTGATATAACTGACGTCGAAGTTCATCGAATTCATGTTCCCGTCACAATTTCAAATCTATCTACCAGTTCCAAAATGCCTCATCCTCGAAAGAGTAGTTACTTCCTAAATAGATCATCACCGCCGCAACCATTTAATATATCTGTTGTAGAATCTATGTCAGAACCCAGAAATATATATCGAAAATCTAGCCCCACAGAATTCCAGGTAGATTCTCATTTACTTTTTCGACTGGTAATTGTACAACCCTGCATTTCATGGTGTACTCAGGTTGAGACTGTTTGCCCATATTTAAATCCCGCTGATCCTACCTCAAACGGTGGTGAACCTGCATTTTTGTGCGATGGTAAGTCCATATTTATTTATAGTATTTATGCTCACTAATGATTATTTTTTCACCTTCTATACTAGAATTTATGTACTCATTTTTATTCCTGTTACTGGGTTAAAAACCTTCATGCTATCACTCTTTCATAATGTCTACCATGAAAGCATTTTCCATTGGTTTCACATGGTGGTGATTGTTTCCTGCAGAATGGAAGTGGTAAAATAGACGACCTGATACATAGGTATTAAGTGTCCATTTGTATAAGTTCGGAAACCCCAGTTTTAAACTATTTGTTCACCCAGAACCTTGTATACGGGTAGTATTGACGACTAGTACATCTATATTATTTGGTACTATTAGGGTATAGCTCCTAACATAATCCGGTCATCTTTCAGATTGAGACAAAATTTGTAGATTTTTTTGCCATTGCTGTGGTCTGAAAGCCTGTGTATTATCAAAAGTCATTAAATATCACCTATGCTAATCCATTTACGGCACCATTTTTGCTTCTTTTTTCTTACTTTTGGTTCATATCTTCAACTAATTCTACATGACTAACAGTTTACCTATTATATATTATTTAAGAATCCATCTACATTTCGATTATTGAGTTCTCTTTGATTAGAAATATGGTTCCCATTAATCATTTTGATTCACTCTGTATGATATGATGTTGTTAGGGTGTGGATAGACTGAAAGTCGTGTGAATTCATATTGTTTCATCAGCTATAAATGTTAATAACTCTAGTCAGTTTTCTTGTGCATACTCATATTTCTGTTAGATAAATGGATAAAATGCATTATTGTATTTTATGTAAAACTTTTGATTCAATAAAAAAAACAACCAGCTGAGGAGTTTAGTTACAGAGTAAGTAATAACTTTATTTTACGAAATATATTTTTGTATTGACTGACTGTACCTATTAGAAACAGTAAGAAGATGGAGATTCAGAGCTTTCAAATACCTAATTTAGAAGAATTGTATTAGCTCTAGATATAACGATACAATATTATGATCAGCGAACACCATGACATATTTATATTCATTGTTTTCCTCTTTTCTAAATACTTTACATGTTTATTCATCACTCTCAGTTTGTTTTCTTCATTTTCTGAGACCTAGAACCTATTCCAGCGTTCAATTTTCTATCCTTTTTATTTCCGTGAAGCATTTTATGATTGAGATGTCGTCGTCTATTAATCACTTTTTCTTCACACTAGATGCTTTCGCTCATTAGTAGTGATTTCTTAACATTATTAGCACCCGTAACAAAAAAGCATTCTCAATACTTACTCAAAGATTTTGATAATTTCCCGTTTAGGTGTATCGTTCTTCATATGGTAATATATGTACGAGGTATGCATCATGAATACATCACGGGGTGTTTCTGGAATTTCGTTGTTCTTGTGTCCCACTTGGTGACTCCGAGTTACAGTTATGTTACACAGCCCAACAGTTCTTTGTTCAACTTTAGTGAACCTCTTTACGTTCGAAGCAATTTTTTACAACTCATTTTCCAATCAACTTCATGTGCTAATATAGATTTTATGTTCTTGTTTGCGCTTATATTTTATTCATTTTCGTATTCTTTCACCAAGTAGTGTTTAAAACCGTGGCATCCTAAAACAATACTCTATCTCTCGCTACAATGTTTAACTTTCCTACGTGTTGTTCATAATCTCCCTAAATTGTTTCAAACAACTCACTGAAAGTACTTGCTTATTGAATGAAATGTTCTTCAAACTAATAACCAGCTTATTTTGTCTATTAGGAGTAATAGTTTAGGCTAGCTCTCCATTATTTCTTGATCAAGTGTATAGTTGCATCTTTAGCGGTTCATCTGTTATCGTCAATACTCTTTTCTTTTGTTGTACTCTTAAATACTTGATCATTGCTTATATATATATATATATATATATATATATATATATATATATATCACTGCTTGTTTGTTGTTCGGGCCTTCCTCTTCTATTCTTTTTTGTCCTACATAACTAAGTAAATAAAAGCCTATTGATTTTTTTCGCTCTTCGTTCTCTTCATCTGTTTTCTCTGTTAATATATAGGCAAAAATTATTGTATATTTCATCAAGCTAAGTAAGATTAGTTTTTAATGATAGTTAATTATTGCTATTATATCTTCACATTCATATGTGTACATTATTTATTTGTTTTTCCATGGCTACGAAAGGAATGACTTTATTTTGGTCTCATTATACTCATTATTGTTATTATTTATTATCATTATTATTATTACTTATCTCTTAATGGAGAATATTGTTGTTGTCTTCAAGTCTTAGAATTATATCTAGGTAAATATTTCCAATTTCTTCTTATTCATCTGTACTGATAATAATAATAATGGGTCTTTTTATTTATGTAAAGTATCATAAAAAGGAGGCTCATGCAATACTTGAAGCTTAAGCGATGAAACGAATATGTTTGAATCGTTTATCGAGCAACATTATAGTATTCTGTTGTATTCAAATCGCACCTCCTACTGAAAATACATTCGGAATACACTGAACAGCATATAAATTCGTATAATAATCTTTGGATTTCAACTGGTACTTTCCTAGACATTTATAAATGAAAGAGATAATCACTAAAATAAATGAAATCCTAAAGTAGACATATAATTATTAATTAACAGAAGGGGTTTTGTGGAGATTTAGTATGTTTCATAGTTGAAAGCATGAGTCAATTGAAGCTAGACCACCATGGAAAACCTGGAAACACTGGACGGCCGTTTCGTCCTATTGTGGGACTCCTCAGCAGTGCGCATCCACGAACCCTGGGTTCGAATCTCGCGAGAGCGGGTTCGTGGATGCGTACTGCTGAGGAGTCCCATAATAGGACGAAACGGCCGTCCAGGTTTTCCATGGTGGTCTAGCTTCAATTGACTCATGCTTTCAACCATGAAACATATAATTATTAGTTTTCACCATACTATCTACTTGACTTCTAATAGATAAGTTCATTTGTAGTCTTTGTTCATGGGTTTGTAACTTTTCACCATAGCTATCCACTAATATTAAATATATTTTTTATATCCCAATGAGTAGAAAGATTGTGTTTCTGACGTTTTGTGACTTAATGTAAGCCACTTCTCCAGAGTAAATAAATAACCGAATTAAACTGACACAAATTTAACTAATACAATTTTTCTACTCTTTGGGATATAGCAAAAATATATTTATTAACTGTCTAGCCAATGCTCAATTTATTTGAAACGATCAAGTCCAACGTTGGCATTGATACATATAGCTATCCACTATTAACGGTCACAACCCCATTGAAGGACATCCATAGATCTTTTGTTTAGATCCGTGAACTAAGATTCTAGAATTTTGGTTAGCTAGACCTGTTGCCCGATCAGATGTACGACTGAAATATGGAAGGATGCAATTAGTAGATGAATGCCCGGTCCTTATAAATTGTATATAACATTTCGTAAGCTCAATTTGTTTGCACATGTTGAAAAAATCAACACTAGTTTGAGAGAGTGAATAACAGAAACTCAATAAAATCTGGAAAAAGAGAAGTGTGGATGCGAGTAATGATGCAGGTCACGCGAATAATCAACACTTTCCGGCCGGAATTATCGACTCAGAGTGTAAACACCCAAAACGTCAGATAATGTTCCTAGTGTGGGAAAAGTCCAAGTAATGTGACTGGCTGATCTTCAACCAATCGGTGGTGGCGGACCATATCAGAAGATTCTAGAAGCTACACATTCAATTTACATAAAACATTTATTTCTTTTCCACCATACTTTGTTCCGACTTCTCTTGAAGATATATTTTGTTTGTAATCTTATCAGGTCGAGCAAAGTTCATTGTTCGAAAAGTTCTAAATAAGGAAGTACATATAAGCGTCATAGAAGGATGAAAACTTCAAAAGTGATATCCTGATGCTGAATACGAACACCTAAGCGACAAAGTAATAAACTGTATTAGAAAACTAGAAATTTTTTATCGACTAATCACTCAATTGGTAATGTCACATAACTCGAATAATATCAATAAACCGAACTATTAGTCATTAGTATATTATTTCTGGTTTAATAAATACCTGTTTGTATATCGCTTATTTAAAATAAATTATGCATTAATATGTTTTTTTATATTTATAGCCAATATTGAAATTAAAGTAATTATATTTCACACTAACTGAACAATCACTTGTGCATCAGTGACTCTTTAAACTAAAATTTTCATAACTTTTTAAATCCTTGTTTTTATTACAAAAAACTATGATTGGGTTTGTCAAAATATAGAAATATAAATTTATAGTTGAGTAACAAACAAATTTTTTATAAATTATTCTTATATCTGAAATATCCACACAAGATATATTTGCAATCATTAGAATTATTTTCTAGGACTGACGTGTAAACTATCACACTATGGAATTAAGTGGGTATATAAATCTTTACATAATTGTCTACTAAGGTTATATTGTACTAATGATTCCATTAGAATAGTCAAACTAACATGAGATAGCACAAATTTTTTTAAATGTAACTATATAAACTTGAATTAGTTATGATTGAGACTACAATGAAAAGGGAACAAAACAAAGAACTACTTTATCCTTGGTTCTCAATACACTTAAACATAAAATGGATAGAGAGAATAGAAAAAAAGAACAGACGAATTGAATTAATCAGAGAGATTGGAGTTTTAAAATAAAAAAGATTGGTTAGGTGGAGAGTTCTCTTTTCGGCGAATTCATTTTCAACGCTGTACAATCGCAAATGTACAGTTATTTTTTAGGATGATAATAATAACAATAATAGTGATAATGAGGTTCTGTCAAACGTCGTAACAGTGAAGTAGTATAAACAAAGGTTGTTATAATTGTATTGCTAATAAACAACCCAGCTACTCCTATTGCTTAGTATTCTTATACGATGACACTCGACAAGACCCCTAAATCAGAACACGTTGAACAGGAATGAAATCGTATTCAAAAATAACAATGGTAAGTGAATAGCAATCACTTATTTGAATAA